ACGTGTAATTATATAAATAAAGTCATTGTTTATAGCACAAGTCTGAGAACAAAAACTATAGTTTACACTACAGCTCTACACCGAAGCGAAGCGAGGGCGGGCCACTAGTTTATAATAAAGTAATAATTTGAGAATGAACCCACTAAACCAAAGCCCACGACAAGGAAAGTTAGCGCCCACTTGGAGAAATACTGCCCTACGGCTACTTGTTAAAAATCCTACATATAGGAATCGGAAAAATTGTTTCTTCTTAATATTATTTATTTGCCAATTGTAATCATCTTCGAAGAATACAAGAATATTTCTATCTATTTTTGTCTCCACATTTCATCCACCCAATTTAAAATACAACTTGTACATCTCGAAATATTTATTTTTATGCATAATTATGATCATTTGTAATGAATTTTCGATTAAAAAGGAGTGATGACAAGTTATTCGGTTTCCTATGTCGTGATATTTATTAGAATCGTGGTCGTCGGGCGCCTGGTGGTGCAATTCTTCACGGCGCGTTTTGAATCGATCGACCATCTAGCGAGGCGGCAGTGGCAGGCTGCGGGCGGCGCGGCGGCGGCGACGGCGCTGGCCGGTGACGCAATGCGCTAACAGAAGGTGGCAGTGTTGCCAGGTCCCATTTTTAAAAATCGGGAGGCGTTATAGAAGAAAACAGTAGATGTATGGAAGGAGCTACAAGAAAAACAGTAGATGCTGAGGTGTATTTTTTGTCCCCCCCCCCCACCCTAGAATTGGTAAATCAAATCAAGATAAACTTAAGACCAGTAACGACAACGACTATGTTTCTGTGGCTTCTGCCGCCCCATAAAGCTAGTTTTTTTTAGACAATAACATTTATTTTAAAATTAATAAGGTTACGTATATTATTAATGGCCGAAAATGCAACTCCACATGCAATTTAAAAAAGAAAATCGTATTTTAAGAAAAACAGGAGATTCATGTTGAAAAACAGTAGAACAGGAGAACTTTCAGAAAAACAGGAGATCTCCTGTAAAATCGGGAGACCTGGCAACACTGGAAGGTGGCCACACCGAACCTTGCTCCTGATCGACGCTAATATGCTTCTAGTAGATGCAACCTCATCCACGCGATGAACACGCTGCGCAATCTGCATAACATTGTGTCTTTCAACGCTCAAATTCCAAACAGATACTGTAGTTCCAACTTAAGGTTAATAACTAATATCTCTTGCAAAAAATACTTTGAATTGTGAACACTCTTATTACACGACATGACTGTCTCAGATTTCATTTACGTTCTGAATCATGTTTTGTTATGCGTTTCTTTATTCCAACATGACTTCTAAATTCAAACATTTTTATGTGTAGATCCTAATAAAATCCTAAGTTAAAATCACACAACGCAACGATAATAGGGCTTTTAATATCTTTGGATATACAGCAGCCCCTTATCACATGTTTAGGGAAAGAAAAGGAAGAATGCTTTAAATTCACCAATATCAAATACCCATGTGAAAGGCCAGCATTAGGTGCCCCCGTCTGCAATGGGTTTATTGTGTTTTTTTTAAGAACTAGCGGCCCGCCTTCGCTTCGCTTCGGTGTAGAGCTGAAGGGTAGACTACAGTTTTTGTTCTCAGGCTTGTATTATACACAATGACATTCATCTATGATTCTTCTTATACCTGCATGCAAAGTCTCAGCCCGATCGGTTTAAAATTGACAAAGTTCCATACAAACTTTCATTCCCGCTTCTATCCTCTTGGGGGTAGAATTGATCAAAATCCTTTCTTAGCGGATGCCTACGTCATAACATCTACCTGCATGCCAAATTTCAGCCCGATCCGTCCAGTGGTTTGGACTGTGCGTTGATAGATCACTATGTCAGTCAGTCACCTTTGAATTTTATATATATAGAAGACAAATAAGCTCTTTATGGCAAAAAGAGCATAAAGTTTATGCTATGAGCTCTAAAGAGGCCTTATTGCTGGCAGTAAACTCCAGACAGCCTAGCCTAGCATAAAAAGCATAGGAATCTTAGAGCACAATATATGGGAATGTAAAAAACGCCATAAACATATTTATTTTAGGATGTTATTTTTATATATAGATAATAGAGTGATTTTCTAAAGCATAGTTTGTTTGTTGCAGGTGAGTGACGCCCTCGGGCGTATCGTGCATGTCTCTGTCATGCTGGACTGCCTCTGGTAAGTTGGGACACAGTGAATATTCTTTTCGGAATTGAGAAAATTTAAATTTTGGACGAATAAACCTAAATCCCATGGCATGAAGTACTTAGTACTTTAAAATAATAATTATCATCAGCCCAATAATGTCCCCACTGCTGGGGCACGGACCTTCCCTATGGATGGAATAGAGAGATAGGGCCACGACCCACCACGCGGACCCAGTGTGGATTGGTGGGTGCTAACGATTTGCAGCCAACTGCTTAACGTGTCTTTCAAAGCACGAAGGAGCCCGAGATAATAATTTTTGGTTTCCAATCTAATGTCGGCCATTGCGAAAGTTGCTTAACTTCCACAATCGCAGGTTGAATGCGCTAGTGCCTGCGATATCGAGCTTAAATAACAACAATTTTAAAATAGGTTAAGTATCTTAGTTGTAATGACCGTAGGTAGTTAAGGTGTGGTGTGTGTGCAGCCGCGAGCAAGTGACGTAATGCCCTTGTGAAACGTCGAGCGAATGCCTATTGTCTGCCTGCTGCCTGCTGCCACACACGGCACACACCACATCATCGTAGGAACACTCGGTCCTGGAGCTCTACTCTCTTTCTCCGAAACGAAATTTCGGCAACGAACGAATTTTAAACGAAATTTCGCCGTGACTCTACTCTTTTTCATCTTCGAACACGCACATAAAGTTCGGAATCACAGACAATTATCGTGAACGAATGGAATGAGTTATGTTTGTGAGTTCTTTTTGTCTACACTTTTGAAACAACGTTTTTTACTTCAAAACAATATTACTGTACGACAACAGTTTTGATTACATTAAAACAACCTCTTTTGACAGTGTTAGCAGACTAATTTGTAGAGTTGATGCAATCGAATGCATGTCAACCTAAATTTGTCGTGTAACACTTTGAAGTATTGGCAAATAATAATAAACAAAAATTAGATTTATTTGTAGTTTTCATACTAAAAATATTCCTCAAGCTAAGCAGCCTTAATTAAAAATACTCTAGTAGTGATTTTAGGTTTAGTTTAAACAAAAATCCCAAAACGAAAAGGTAACACTTTTCATTTCGTCAATCTGAGGTTAAAATTTCGAACAATTATCTGTCACATTCAACTTTTAGTTCAAAAGTTTTGTGAATTAGAGTAGGCTTAGAGAATTTAAATGTCAAACTATTTTCGGACGAACGAATTTTCGCAATGACATAGAAACAGAGTAAGGAACGTGCGAAATTTCGTTTTTCGTTGAAATAGAGTAGGCCTCCTGAACGTATATTTACTATTTACGAACGTATATTTATTTAATATTTACGTGGATAACGCTTTAACAACAGATATTAACATGTTAGGCTCCTCACTCAAACGCCAAGGGAACTAAAGTAAAATTTAAATTTATTTTTCCTCTATTAATATTGTATTCTGATTGATGTATGATGAGACTTCACTTCAATAAACAAATTCAAATACAATATTCGTTATCAGCACGAATTCTCTATTTTAACTGAGTTATACGGATAAAAACTACAGATTCTCTTAATTAAAAAGTGAATCGGTAAGTGTTTTCTAATTTGTATGTATGTAAATTATAAAAAAGGGTGAAAATTTTCAATAATTTACGAAGATAATTTTCATAATATTTTTGTCGTTATATCGAACAGTATCAAATGTGTACGTGTAAGTAAACATGTCAAATATTTCTGTATATGGAATAAAAGTTTTAGTAAACAGAGATGGTTATTCCGTATGGAAATTTAAAATGCGTGTGTATCTGATGCATGAAGAGTTGTGGGAGACGATCCTCGGCTATGCTCAAGGTAACGATTTTTCTGCTGAAAAGAAGTTGAGAAACGATCAAAAGGCACTGTCACAGATATGTCTCACAGTAATAATAAATATGTAACTCCTGTCCCATGGCGGTACGCTAACTATACTTTTAGTTCAGATTAATAAACAGGAATTGAATGGTTCTAAGGTTAATGATTGACCCGTCAATCATCTGCTCTGCTCCGGTCGTAAAACAGGTAAATGCTCTGAGGCTCCGGTAGTTTATCTATATATATAAAGGTGACTGACTGACATAGTGATCTATCAACGCACAGCCCAAACCACTGGACGGATCGGGCTGAAATTTGGCATGCAGCTAGATATTATGACGTAGGCATCCGCTAAGAAAGGATTTTGATCAATTCTACCCCCAAGAGGATAAAATAGGGAATGAAAGTTTGTATGAAACTTTGTCAATTTTAAACCGATCGGGCTGAGACTTTGCATGCAGATATAAGAAGAATCATAGATGAATGTCATTGTGTATAATACAAGCCTGAGAACAAAAACTGTAGTCTACACTTCAGCACTACACCGAAGCGAAGCGAGGGCGGGCCGCTAGTATTGCATACAATTAATCTTGCTATTGGTGTCGATTCTAGCATGATTCTCTAAACCCTTAAATTATATTGAAAACATTGTATCTTTGTCACTCTCTATACAGATTATCGAAATATTTACTATATGATTTTTAATTAAAATATGTATTTATAGTCATTTTGAATTAATTCAGTCTAGTTTGAACACATCATTAGCAATGGCGGAAAATCATAATTGGCAAACTGCTTCAAAGTTGGCAGTTATTTTTTCATGTGAAAAATAATGACCTCTATTTTAAGATTATCTTATTGAATCAAGAGCCACGTCACCAATGATATCTTATAACTCTTTTCACTGACTGTGCTGCCGTACATAAGGGTCGTAATGTGTATAATTTATTGCACAGTGCCACGTAGTCATAATTTGAGTGGAGACTTAAATAATGCAAATGCCTTTTTATCTGATACAGCATAGCTTCACAAGCCTTGCACAAAAATGTTCACTGTGCTCTCCATGACGTGGAGAGAAAAAGCAGCGGCGTGTCTGTGAAAAGAGTGAAAACCTATGTTTACCAGCGTTATTGGTCGTCCCTGCCTGCACCCCCTGCCCAAGTGCCCACCCACCACCCACGAGCCGCTCCCTCCGCTCTCGCCGCTGCCGATCAGCTGTTGTCGCGGATTCCCGTCGCCCTACCGCAACTGATAAACCGCCCCGTGAATGACAGTAGGACATCGCAAGCTAATTGTTTGCTTCTACCGTTGATCATCCATCATCAAATCTTACCCACATTATTTGGTCACTCCAAGCCATATATTGCGTTCATTACGTGGCTGAAGGCCATGCATCGGGTCAAATAGGGATGATGACTAATTTTTTTTTCTTCGTTTATCAGGTAGATTATGAAAAAGTATTGGACATGTATTTTTTCTTTTTTCATTGCAGAGATATATTGATTTGAAAAGTCGCATGACGTTACGTTTGAGTACACTTTTAAGTGAAAATTCACTCAAAAGTGACTTCACGAGCCCCTACTCCCAAACTTTGACGCGCTATAACTTTGTCATTTTTAGGTTGTTTGCCCAAAGAAAAAATACGTGTCCATTATTTTTTGATAATCTAACTGACGGACTAAATAGAATTTCGTTTACATTACATTTACATTTCATCACCCCTATTATTCCCATTTTTAGAATTTGTTTTCAGACGTCTATGTCGGTTTCTAGTTTTTATCGTTGCCTTTATTAAACACGTAGGTATAACAGGAGTAAGATAGCGTGCGCGTTGCATTGCTCGCGAACAAATCAGAAATACTAAAACCTCAGAATGAGGGATGGCATCGGGCTCAACTATCAGATATTTTGCTGAACGGTGGCTTGGTTGCGGCTTGCGGCTCAGTCGGTCTAGCTAGTCAGTCTGCGGGCGGTTGGGTGTCAGCGGGTGGGTGGCGGGCGGCGGCGGCGGCAGTTTCGCGCGAGCCGCGACGCGAGTGACACGGGTGCGATGGTCTGTGGGGCCCAACCGCTGGGAAGTATTGGAAGCGCCGCGCTCGCGCCCGGATAGTGCAGTGTGCCCATGTGCCGCGATGCTGCGCTCGCCCGGCTCCGGCGGCACGGTGGGGCTGCCCCTGCCGCCGCCACAACACGCAAGACTCTCGCTATTTGACTCTTGCCACAGAAAAATAAGACTAATCGGCGGTGGGCCAGTAGCTTTTTTAGGAGGACTCGTCGCGTGAGTTGATCCTTGGTTATCCTAAGATTAGTATTATTGTGTGATACAGTGAGCGTGCACCGGTTTGTGCGTTAGGTACTCGCCTACCTAACGGTGTGCTCGCAACGACACGCTCTGAATGCTGCTCGTACAAAACGCGAGACAGCTTCCGGAACGCATCTCGCGCTCCCTGCTGGCGCGACACTCGACCTCAATCACCTCCGCATTGTTTATTATCCATTGAACGACAATAACAGTCTAGTGACCTAATTTTTATGTGTAATTCACGTTAATCATCTATTTTTAGTGCTGTTCTTTCAAATGTATTTACTTATACCTTCTTTTTTAATGGAACGTAGGTTCTGGAAAACGGGTTTTCTACGCCATATCGAATGACAGTTGATCGGTGACAATTAACCGAAAACCCAATATATCGATATGCCATTTGATCGAAAATTTAATAATTTGTTTTTTCAATAGATCGCTGTGACAGTAAATCGAAATTTCAATCAATCTATTTTCAATAGATCGTTGTGATATTAAATCTAAATTTCAATGCTTATAGCGGATCTTGTTTTGCCAAGAGAAGCATTACAAGTGATGAATTACTTTAAAACCAATTATGTATCTGGAAAAGTGATATCTCGTAAATAGTAATGTAATTACAACCGAACTGCTGCCACGTTTATAGTCAATATCAAGCAATATATCGTAAAATTTACCAAGGAGTCAAAGTAATGCAGAAGCCTGCCATCCATAATTGGTGGCAGATGCATTCTTAAATCGATGTTTCATACATCGATCCAATTAGCTTTTGATCTATTGGCATAGCGAGCTATTGATCTATCGATTTAGGTATTTGTCATTCGATCAAATGGCATGTCGATATATCGGGTTTTCGGATATTGGCACCGAACAAATTTCATTCGATATGGCGTAGAACACCCCTGGAAAAATTAAAATGATTCGACAACTATTTTGCATAATATCTTTAGTGTAAAAATATTGCGTGTTATTAGCCTATTTTCGTAATTTCCCCAAAGCATTACATACATGGAAAAAAAATGCGCAACATCTTGCTTCTAAGTCAGTGTTGTTACTATACACATTATACAATATAAAGCGATGTTGATGATGATGAGATGAAATCACATTAGAAACTATAAAATTTAGAATACTTCCATAAATGTAAGAATATCAAATGGGACTTAAATGTTGGAGCAATCGTCACGTAATGTAATGCCCAACCAACCGGTGAGCGTATTCGACCTCTGCGAGTGTTATACATATAATGCGATTCGACTAAGAACAGGATCGACTGGGCGCCATATTTTGACGTCATAGCTGTCAATTCAAACCAAATAGGTAGAGTGAGCAAAAAAATGTTGCTATTTAATGAAACTTATTTACTAAGATTAAGTGAGACAAAACATCAAATTTTTTAATTTTAATAGTATTTCTTTATTAAGACTGTGTGAAAAATAAATTAATAAGAATCTAGCTCTTCAATTTCGCTCGACTCTGCATTACCGCCGAAGAAGTTATGAATAATCATGCAGGTCACATACGAACATGCATCCTTACATATTGGATGCAAGTTTTAAATCGAGTTCTTGAACGCAACATAAAGTGACATTTTGGTTGACGATTAAGGTTATCAACCATTCATAGCCAAAGCTAAATAAATGAAAAAAAGCAACTACTATTAATTATCAATATTTGTTATTGTTTGTTTAAATATGTTTGGTTTTTATTCTAGAATCAGCTGAGTGCTAAAAAAGTGTTCCGAGTTTTTTTTTGCAAACCGTACTTTTCAGGCGACATTTGACAGATGGAGGTCATTGGCTTTCCTATTCTTATTTGAATCGCATTATAGAGTGCGTGTGTCGAACTGTCGAACATCAGCAGCGTCATGCGTGCGTGGAGTGGACAGTTGTAACGGGCTGCGGTCGGGCGGCCGGCAACGGCCTCGATATGCGCCGCTTCCACCAACACCACCGTTCCTCCCCAGGCTTGCAGAATTTTTATTCTTGCAATTTTCAAAAACCAGTATTGTTTCAGTATTAATTCTGTTTGAGTTTGAGGAGCTCGATGGCGCAAGTGGTTAGCGCGTTCGGCTGCGATCGTTGGGTGACCAAACATTTACTATCTCGAGCCCCTCCGTGCTTCGGAAGGCACGTTAAGCCGTTGGTCCCGGCTGCATCTGCAGTCGTTAGCACCCACCAATCCGCACTGGGCCCGCGCCCCATAGGGAAGGCCTGTGCCCCAGCAGTGGGGACATTAATAGGCTAATGATGATGATGATGAATTCTGTTTCAGTTTAGAAGACATCTTTTTTCTTTTAAGTGCAATCTCATTATGAAGATACTTGAATCCATATTCTTTCAAGGAATTCTAAAACGTTTAATAGCTACGTAGCAAATTTCACGTGTATCGTGTTTACTTGTTGTTTGCGTGGGTTTAACATGTGTGATCTCAGAACTTGTTAAATCTACGCTTCTATAATTACAATGTAGACCTTGATCTTTTAATTCAAACGGGTTTTATTGTGGCATCGTACCTTGGCGCTTAGCAGGTCAGTGGAGGAACCACCCAGAAAAATATAGTGATTCATTTCTCTATGTTTATTTTGAAGTAGCGGCCCGCCCTCGCTTCGCTTCGGTGTAGAGCTGAAGTGTAGACTACAGTTTTTTTTCTCAGGCTTGTATTATACACAATGACATTCATCTATGATTCGTCTTATACTGCCTGCAAAGCCTCAGCCCGCTCGGTTTAAAATTGACAAAGTTTCATATAAACTTTCATTCCCTATTTGATCCCCTTAGGGATACAATTGATCAAAATCCTTTCTTAGCAGATGCCTACGTCATAACATCTACCTGCATGCCAAATTTCAGCCCGATCCGTCCAGTGGTTTGGGCTGTGCGTTGGTAGATCACTATGTCAGTCAATCACCTTTGAGTTTATATATATAGATAAAGATTACTTTGCAATATTAATCTCTAAACACTTACATAGCTGCGATCCAATGTCAATATCTTTCTTGTCTAGGAGCTGTGAGATGCGTGCGTGCGTTACAAAAATGTGGAATGGTTATGTACGAGCGAACACGGATCAAGAACACAATACTGAATCTGACCCACTTAACCCGTTAACATGATAATTAGGGTTTTCACAACGATGTCTAGGCGAGATTTTACCCTAATATTTATCAATATTTGAATTCTAACAAATCACAAGAAAGATTTGAATTATTCATCATCATCATCATCATCATCAGCCTATTAATGTCCCCACTGCTGGGGCACAGGCCTTCCCTATGGATGGAATAGGGAGATTGGGCCATGACCCACCACGCGGGCCCAGTGCGGATTGGTGGGTGCTAACGACTGCAAATGCAGCCGGGACCAACGGCTTAACGTGCCTTCCGAAGCACGGAGGAGCTCGAGATAGTAAATTTTTGGTCACCCATCCAATGACCGACCACTGCGAAAGTTGCTTAACTTCAACGATCGCAGCCGAACGCGCTAGCCACCTGCGCCATCGAGCTCCTCTGATTTGAATTATTCGTATGTGTGATTGGGAACATAGTGCCGGTGCGGTGATATTATTCTGCGAAGTGAAAGTGCGGCAGAGTAATCGCGGCCGCGGTCGCCGGTCGTGCTGGTGGCGGCGTCGCGGCAACGGTAACGATCCCGCCGCTTATTGTCAATTCCTATCGCGGCCGCACCGCACCGCACCTAGGGTTACCATATCTCAGGATTTGTCCGGAGATTTGAGGATTTTTGGACTCTTCTCAGGATTGCGGCTGGATTTTGCAAATCTCATGAAATCTCAGGATTATTTGAATTTCCAATAAAATACAGCTTACGTTTTAAAGATCTCTCTAATAAAAAGTTAAACAAGCTAAAAATTTTCTTCCATTGGTAATAATTGCACAATTAAAATTAGTACTTTATAATCCAAGTAATGAAAATGAAATGAAATGAAAAAACCTTTATTGGCCATCTTACATAATAAAAATACTATAAATTTAAAGAAAAATAAAAGAGTAACTTAACCTAAAAACAAAAAAATATCACCTTAAAACTAGGACGGCCAATCAGGACCCTGCCTCAGCTTATGCTGACACAGTGGGAGAATACTCTCACACTGTATCAGCGCTGGTATTCTGGCAGGGCCTGTGCGAGGACGTATTAGGCGCTAACAAGCAACTAAAACAATACATTTGTAACAATACATACAACAATGCTTAACTAATCCTATTGTATTGCGCATACACACTTACATACATACACACGCTGATATAAATATATACATATATGTTTAATGTGTGTATATATATATATATATACACACATTAAATACATAAAATGACATAATCCTAAATAAAGAAACACAGCGCAGCACCCCGACGCACCCGCACCGCATCCGATAATGGTGTCGATTCTGTCATGACTCTCCAAACCCAAGACCAAACCCAACAACAGTCCCCCTCTATCATTTTGTATAGAGAATGACAAGGATACACTGCCGTCAAATTCATATTCAGGCTCAGAGAATCATTACAGAATCGACACCAATCAAAACCAAGTAGGTAATTATTCAGTTTTATCATACTTAATATGTGAAGATACATTTTTAAGGAAGGTTTTTCTTCAATTATGGATTCATATAATGCCCCACTTGTTAAGCTCTTCAAGTTATATTGATTTAAAAGTATGAGCAGAGTATAAACGATAATATTACGACTTTTTTGAATTGTAAAGTACGTTTGAGAGAAAATTCTCAAACTGTAAAAAATCTCAGGATTTTTCAATGGAAATCAAGCCTTTTCTCCGGACTTTTGATTTTATCATATGGTAACCCTAACCGCACTACTCCGCACTACTCCGCACCGCACCGCTTCGTGAACAATTTTTCAAGTTTATATCATGCTAGGCGAACCTTTGGCCGAGCAATACATTGGTACAATAATGTGGAACGGACTGATGCGGGTTAATGTTTAGCTTCAGGCGAAAACGTGATATCGTCAACGCAACCCGAGCGTCGAGCGAGCGCGCGTCCGACCTAACTGTTGTCATGCATGCGCAACTTTTGTACTTTATGAAATTATCATACAAGGCGTCCGGTGATATTATTTTTATTGGCTTTGTTTTTGTGTTCAAATCAGGGTCATAAATAATAGTGGATGATTACAAGGAGCATTCAAAAAGTCGGTTTGTAATAATACGGATGAAATAATATAATTTTTATGTTTTTATTAATTTTTAAGCATTTAA